GGACCAGGGACGAGCAAGTCGCTGGACTAAGAATCCCAGAAAATACACTGCATGCATAGCAGTTAAGAAACACTTAAATGCCCTTCTTTGACCCAATCTCAGCACAACTGACCTAGCTTTGGCCAGACTCGTGGCGCCGGATGGGAGCGGAATGTTGATTTGCCCTGCTTGAGTCGGTAGTCAAGCTGCTGCAACGGGCCGAAGAAACACAGATGACCCTGGTGCTCGGTTGTGATGCATGTGCTCTGGGGGAGCTCGGAAACTAGCTAAAGAGGTGAGTCATTTTTTTAAAATATTATATGTAGCAACAAAACAATATGTAACAAGGGTATCACCTCGCAAATCGGCAAAACACTCCTTCCATTGGTACATTTTCTTTAACCTAACGGTACCGGTAAGGTTCCAAAAAGAAACCTCCGTTAGACAGATTGGAACAAATTCGGTGAAATTATTCAATCTAAAGTAAATGGCACTAGGATTAAGACACAATTTTTCTTATAGGTACTCGACAAGCGATGGAGGACCTCACGAATATCTTGAACAACGCCCTCCGAGAGACATGCAAGATATCATTTTCGTATGGAACCCAGGAATGGGAACCATACAAGGGAGCGCAAAGAACATACAAAAAAGCAATATACAAGGCCAAGAAAGACTCAAAGAGAACTCGAAACCCGAGGAGGAAAAGAACCCTCAAACAGAAACACCAACGAAAGAGATCATTAGCACGGAGCGAATCCAGTGGGACCGGTCCCAGATGGAATAATACCGGCAATGCTATCAACAGCTAGAAAAGTATCTGCAGATGGCTGAAAGCCATTTATTAAGCTTGTATAAGACCGACGCACATCCCGCTCTTGTGGAGGGAAGTGAAGGTCATCTTCATACAGAAACCACGCAGAAGGGGGACATCCTAGCAAAAGATTACAGACCGATAAGTCTCACCTTCGCCCTGAACACACTAGAGAGACTCCTGGAAGACCACATCCTGGAGAGACTAGAGGGACATAGAATTTCGGATGCGCAGCACACGTACCAAAAACATAATGTCAAGAAGACACTACACCACAAGCAATACACGATGGCCGCCGTCCTAGACAACGAAGACACGTTCAATAGCGTGAACTTCGACTTCTGAGCTCCCTAAACTTGTTAGGTATTGAGAGAGTCATTAGAGAGTGGATCGGGGTTATGCTTAAGAGCAGGTCAAAATACAAACAAACAAAAGAATGGACTTGACCTCAGAGATGAACATTGATAACAGTTTTACGACTTCATACCCAACAAGGGAAGACTGGAGTTAAGACAGAGTTACTGTAGAGGGCAAAGTATCCCCCTACACCTACGGTTTCAAGATGACCTGTGGCGTGGGAGCTGGGATCTACACTGAGCACTGGGAGATCGAAGAAGCCTTCAATCTCTCAGACTCAGCGACGTTCTTATATTTCGAGATACTTGCCAAATCGGAAACAGTCAGGCTTTCGGTTCAATTAGTCCGAGCCGACTAGACTAGATATAGATTGACTCAGGATGGTACTGAAAGCGATCTTGACCACGACTAAGATAACAGAGCGAGTGGATCAAAAAGGAGCCCTGCTATTATTGGAGGCTTTAGAATGGAGCCTCACCACTTTTACCTACCTACCCATTTTATAATAAATAAAAATGCATTTATTTAATAAAACAAGTTCTGTCTGAAATTTCTGAAAAATAGGTTTATTTAGTATTCACTTTTTGTTGTTTGTCATTTTACAAGGTTCTCTTGTGTTCATAGTTCAATAGTTGATTTTTAATTAAAATCATTATTTATCTAATAAAATAATAGTTAGTTTTTCCTTGGAAACTGTATAGATTTTTAATTAAATTGGAGCAGTCATATACCTTATTCTGAGATCAGCGGCGTAATATTTATCGAATGATTTATTGTTTCTTACTCTAAATTTTGTATAAGAGTGACCCTTTTCCCTTGATTAAGTGCGTGTTGCCCACGTGCTTATATACAAAACAGAATTTACTTAATTACTTAATAGATTGTTGTTGTTAAAAGAGCTTAAAAAGACTTTGGAGAGCTGTAATAATATTTCATATACGCATAAAAAGTTCAAACAAATATTGGCTTCTAAATAGAAAATAAATAAGAGTTTAAAATAACTAAAAAACACGCTTTTATAAAATAATTAATAATTACAAACAAAATATTAAATTCAAAGCAATAGTTTATAATGTGGTGTTGAAGGCGTTCCTTATGTCCAGCGTTACAACAAGACAGTAACTCTTGGAGCCGCCTTTCCACCTCTTGCCCGCGATGGCCGAACGGGCTATGTCCATCACCATCTCGATGGCATCGAGCGTGGACCTCCGGACTCCGTGGGAAAGACCTCCGGACTCCTCGATGGCAGCAGCCAGTCTGGCTGCCACGATCTTCTCGTACACCTTGCCAGTGGTGTCGGTCAGGCAGATCTGCATATAGGAGGATGGCTCCCCCGGCGGCTTGCCCGGCTTGGAGAGCAGCAGTAGCTTCTGCTTTTTCCACCTCTCAGGAAAGATTCCCTCCTCCAGGCACTTGGAGTACATGGTGGCGAACTCCCTCGGGTGAAGCGCGATGGATATTTTTAGAGCCCTGTTGGGTATAGCACACGGCCCCGGCGCCTTCTTGTGGCGCACGCTGCTTTCTAACCGGATCACCTCCTCTTCCGAGACTTCGCGGACGACATTGGGCTGGCGGTCCGCGCTCGGTTCCACGGTCACCGGAGCTCCACTCGGGAACAGCGCTCGCACGATGCCATCCAGCTCCTCGGGATCCGATGGAGCTGTGCTGCCAGCTCTTAGGCTGTTGACCACCATCCGGTACGCTCCGCCCCAGGGGTCTTCCTCCGCAGGTTGCAGCCGCATGCTCTGGTCGCAGGCATACTCCAGCGCTGCTGCAACATGCATGCTGTTTCTTCGGCTCCACCCGGCTCACCTGTTACCATGCCTTCCAACGCGTTTGTGAAAGTCCGGATGCTTTTGCGGCCCGCAGTGCCGAGCGGGTATCTTCCTCAGGTACTCCGACAGAGCACTGGATCGCCTCGAGATCGCTCCCGGTGTAGGCGTCGCTAACCTCGCATTTGGCAGAGTGGGAGATTTCTCTACTCGTGAATGTGAGGTCGATGATAGAGGCGGCTCCTATTCTGACAAACGTGTGCCGTCCCCCATTATTTAGGAGGACGATGTCCTCTGGCGTTGGTCAGGACCGATCCCCACTCCTGGGCACAAGCATTGAAGTCACCTCCGACTATGACGTTGGCCCTTCCACGTAGATCACTGCTAAGGTCCTCAAGGATCCTGCTGAACGTCTCCAGCGGGAGGCTAGGCGCCAGATAGCAGCTATAGATTTGGAAGCCGCCAACTTCCGCCCTCACGAATCCATCTGCTGCCAGGATGTTGGACATTCGCCGCTGGCCGTCGCCACAGAGCCAAAGGGCCGCCTTGCCGGAGCGGTCCTAAATTGCTAAAAATACTCGTTTTTAGGAACTCTTAATTTTATGGCCGCTGTAGGCCCTTGTGAAGAATTGCCCATCTATTAATTATTATTATTATTATAACAAAAAAAAGATCATTCAAAATTCATAATTATATATTTATTTACAAGTATTTAATTCAATTGACAAAGAAATAATATATTATAACACATAAACTATAAAAATAAAATATAATAAATTTAAAAATATATAATAAATGCAATCGCGAAATCGGTGATTTGAGGCACGCCATGTTGCTGTATGCGTATGAGAGAGCTGCTGGCTAGATAGCTCTCTCTCTCTGGCTTTTGAACGAAATGTGAGAGATCCTGAAGCCAGTTCAAAAGCCAGCACGAAAAAATCGTGTGCAAAAAATCGTATGGCGTTACGGATCTTCCAATCTGTATAGTCTTTGGTTGCTGCCAGCTCGAAAATAAACCAAATTTTTTTTAAAAGGCAAAAGCACAGAGACCAGACAGATCTACTGCGTGTTCATCGATGATACAAACACTTAATCATTAATATAAAACTGTATTTAATTTAGAAATTTACCTATTCGGAACCTTTTTGCTTGGTATTCTCTAGAAAAGTGAACATCGATGTTGACCAGTTTTTAAAAACATCGCTAGTATCAAATAAACATCGATAATTCTTTCATTACCACATGTTGCTCTGCTGAACTTTTGTTTAGAAGACAATTAAATATATTCTTTAAATTTTCCATGAAGTATTTTTTGACCAGACACCTTATGTAATATTTGGATCATATGTGGTGCCGTCTATTCTTATCAAATGTTTTCTTCGTCTATTCCGCAATTTTAGCACTAAACACTACAAGACAATACTTAATTAATAAATAATTATAATAATAACTAATAAATAATTATTAATATAATTTTAATTTTTAAAAGTAATAATAAATAATAAGTAAAATAATAATGTAGATAAGTTTTGGTTACATTCTTCATTTTAATTATTCTTATCGATACTTAAACCAATGATCAGTGCCAGCAGCAGGCCATCAGTATCGCGATAGAGTAGCTTACTATTTTATATATTTTATTACTCTCGTTTTCTGCTGATTATGACGGAAATAAATCTTGCATCACCATTAGTGATCACACACATTCCAAAGAACTATCATAAAAAATCATCAGTGTTGAATAATTATGATATTATGGTGAACGAAACCTGACTGAACATATCGACAACTGAATTCTGCTTGTTTCATAACTTTTTCGATATCTCGGCTAAAATTTAGCTTGTATTTACGGTTAAATATATCGCCGATATTTTCACTTATTCAGTTATATACGGAATACTCGTATATGTTAAATAAGAAAACTAACAGTCGACTGATAAATAGTGTGGTGCCAGGATTTTTGTCGTCTACATACTTGGTCAGAAGATAGATAAGTTGGCTACAATGTCTTGTTTCCATTATCAAAATATAACAGCTATCGATATACGAATAAATGTTGCAGCTCTGAGCCTATCGAACAGAACACATTGCATGTGGAATTTGACAAAAAAAAGGAAATAGATTTGATATTCTAAAGAGTTATAACTAACTAACTAGAATTATACATTGCATTGCTGTTGTTCCCAACATTTAAAGTTGAAACTGTTATCTAGCTTTTACTTTCTTTTGTAAATACTTAAAATCGCGAGGAAGGAAAGGACTCACATGCTTTAGGTAAAAATTGGATTGGAAGAAATGCAGAAAAAAAAGCCAACAAATATTACATGATAATATTTTGTTCATTAAAAGTGATAGAAGAGTCTATAAAAATTTATTTTACATGTCTGTGTTCATTTTTTGTATAACAAATTCATTACATTACTTTTATTGCTTGTGTGCCGTTGTGAGAGTGCCATCCAGTATTGCCACAACAGCTACGTCGGCAAAAAGTATGTAAAGGCTACATATGTATGTACATATATATACGTTGTGATTGGTTTTGAAGATCAAAATCTTCCGTTTATGTAAGTTTCTGAGCCTAATAAAAGTAGCTTAATTGTAATATTCAGTTAATAATATAGGATCTTCCGTTTCTTCTAAAAATCAAAATTTAATTTTAATTTTTAAGTTTAAAAAAACCATACTAGTTAAAATGTTTGGTTTTTGTTGTAAAAGTTTTTTATGTTTAAGTCGGTTGATAATTAGTTCTATAGCCAATGCGTGCTGTTAATATTTACAATTAATTAGTGATGAACTACTTGAGTTCTAGTCCTCTTAACATTTTTAACAACAAAAAATATAAAATTTTTATTTAGATATTTTATTAAACACATATTTATGTATGCCAAATTTCAGATATATTTCTGCCAGTGATAATCTGTTCACAGACATTCTTACAACTAATAAAATAAATGCTAATTATATAAAACTTTACCTGCAGAATTCGATGATTGTGTGACGACACATCATTTTGGGTTAAAGAAATTGCCCTTAGAAATCAATGAAACGGTTAAGTTGACCATTTCTATTGATTTCTCTTAAGAAGGCTTATAATTCATAGGATTATACGTAATGCAACACGTTGTAACAACTCTATCGACACAATCAGAAATAAACAAAGTCATGCAGCCCCATTCAGCACAAAATATGGTAAGCTTCGATCTAATATTAAAAAAGAAAAATAAGGAAAAGGTTTTAGAAGTACTACAAATTATTTCTATTATAACTTTCAGTACGTTTCAACGGGAAACAACAGTTCTGCTAACAACCGTTCAAATCCACAGCCAGGCGGTGGAGGAATATTTCGCGGCCCACAACAACAGCCGTCATCATCTGTGAATGCTCCTCGTGGAGGTGGTGTCAGCGGAGGTGCTACGCGTCACGTCCACGTCCAACCGATGTATTCGCAGGCTGCTCTTCACCAAAATATGGTGCTCCAGCCATACACACAATATAATCCCCGCCAGCAAACGTTTTCAACATCGCATCTTCAATACGCTCCAATACACCAATACTACCAATACCAATATGTGCCAGCTCTCCAGCAGCAACCGCCACCGCCGCCGCAACACACTCATCCGCGCAGTGCCGCCGTCTCCGTAAATTCAAATAACAATACATTGCAGGCAGTGCAGGTTCAGCAGCAGCAGCAGCAACAATCTAGTGGTAATCCAGGAGGTGGTCCAGGAGGCACTCAATCCTCCCAAATACAATTACTAGCAAGTACAGTTCAAGGCCCTGGCGGGAACATGGGTCAGGTTGGTGTCGGAGTAGCTCCCATGGTTGGAGTTGGCGTAATGCCGCAGACTGTGGTCCCGCCACAATCGGTCCAAGTCCAAGTGCAGGTGCAGCAGTCTAGCCGAAGACGACATCAGCATCGCTTACCCATAATCGATCCAACCACTAAGAAGAATATATTGGAAGATCTTGACAAGGTGCATACTCAAACTAATAAATTTACAATCTCATCTAAAATTATACATAAAACTATATCTTGTTTACTTTATAGTCAAATTCAAATACAGAGAATGACTTTCCTAATGAGCAGCAGACGACGTCGGCGGCAGTTCTTACTGAAACTCCTGCAATTAGGATTCCTCAGCAAGATGGTAGTGTTGGAATAATAAACCAGCATAATTTAAGCAATTTACAAGCACTGGCAACCAATGCCCCATCGGGTAAGCTTATTTATATTTACCCTTTTGGAAGATATAATTTATAGTGTGAACTTTGCAACGCTTTCTTTTTGACGCTATAAAGTATATACAGGGGTAGTCAAAAGTATTTACACAAATTCACAATTATTTTCACCGCCAAACTTATTTTTGTTATGTTTCTTGTTGTATCTTGTTTTTGTTGATTTCCATAAACATTTTTTTATTGGATAAATTGATCTATTCAGAAACAAGCAGAAAATGAAAACAAAGGATAACGGTTCATGGGACAATATTAAAAGAAAAAAAAATACATTTTTTTGGATATAGCTTAATAAACTTAATTCTAACCAATTGAAAGCCTTCATCGATACCTAAGCCAATTTTTTTGACTATTAATAAAGTAACTTATGTCACAAAAATATTATTTAATTATAATAGCATTAAAATTAAGACGAAAACAAATTATGTGTAAATATTACACTGTAGGTGTATCTATTCTTTTACTTATAGCACTTTTCTATGAACCGTCAACTTTCGAATTCCTTTTTGGCTCGCTTCTGCATAGATCAATATATGCAATAAAGAAAATTTCGGGGAAAACGGTCAACAACAACAAGAATAACAACTAAAAGAAATTTGGCTTGAAAATAGTCAATTTGTAAATACTTTTGACTACCTTTGTATATTTTCATTTTGATATTTCAGAACCAATACAACGCTCTGATGCTGTAGGTCAAACTCCAATCGTATCCGCCATGTCAGATGCCCCTTCGGTGGAAATATTGCCAACGCCCCAAAAAGTCAGAAACAAAAAGTATGTAAACTACTAACGACTTGTGTTCTAAAGTATCACAAGTAAACCTATAAAAGCTTTTTCCAACAAATTATCTCTTTACACCGAACATTTACAAATTTTTTTTAGAATACCCATAGTGCCTCCTAAAAATGTCTCTGGCTCTACTTCTGCAGATCTAATATCTTCAAGTAAGTAAATATATATTAATAAATACATATATTAAAGGGGGGAAGGGCATTTCCGACCCTGTGAAGTATATATATTCTTGATCAGCATCAACAGCCGAGTCGATCCAGCCTTGTTCGTCTGTCCGTTTCTACGCAAACTAGGCTCTCATTTTATAGCAATATGAATGATACTTTGTAGTTACTCTTCTATATACACTCACTCATATAAAAGTTTGAACGTTCGGAAAAATTTAAGAAGAAGAACTTAACTTTTCCAGTTTTCAACATATTTTTTATTAAACTAAATTTTTTTGTATTCTAGTATTTCGGTTTAAACTTGATGAAAATCGGGAGACAAAATCAAGTCATGATAAACTGAAACTGTGAATTTAACAAAAGCAGGCATCACTTTGATTTTTTTTAAATTGTATTTATTATTAATTATTAATGGTCGATTTGCAATCTGCAAGGGTATACAAACTTTGGTGTCCGGAACTGAAAAATAAATAAAATAAAAAAATTGGTTTTTCTATTTCTTAAGAACATATGAGAAGTTAAGATTCCATACGATTAATTAATGATTTTCATAGAGATGAATTCTTACTTTGTTATTTATATTTACTTACATAAGTTTGCACAAACATGCGAAACATTAAAGTAATGTATTTTTTATCTATCCGTTTAACGAATGGTCCATAAGGTTGTGCCGTTCCGAATTTCTTATTTCCGCAGTAGCCATTTTAACAAGCCCTGTTTTATTAATTTAATTTAATATAAAAATTATACCATTTTAAGTTTTAAACAGATTTTAATCAGATTTGACATATAGCCCTTTTATATTCTACAATTTTGTGTACAATTTTATGAAAATCGGACTACTATATCATATAGCTCCCATAGGAACAATTTAGAAATTAATTCAATTAAATATTATAACTCTTTTAGTTTTCAACAGATTTTTAAAATTTAATCGAAAGACTATATCATATAGGTGCCATATAAACGATCGTTAGATGTGGAGGAAAAATGCAAATCTGTCAATGTAAACGTGTAAATATAATATGCATCGGTGAATAAAATGAAAGCAGGTTTTACTTTATTGCTTTTTAACTTAAATATATATATTATATATTGTATGGATTCCAAGTCATCGAAGTTCTATCTGCAAGGGCATATAAACTTTGGCGTGCCGAAGTTAGCTTCCTTTCTTGTTAATAATAAAACAAAATGGATATAATTCTCAAACTGTAAAAGTTATAAAAATCATATTACATATAATTTCTATTTATATAATTATTTATATTAGCTGCCATATGATATAGCTGCCGATCCGGCTCGTTCCGACTTTTATACGATTGTGTTTATAGAAGACTAACTGCAAAGTTTCATTCAGACGGACAAGGCTGGATCGGCTCGGCGGTTGGTGCTGATCAAGAACATACAGTGGATCACATTAATATTCGTCTTTTTTTTTTTGCAACGAACAAAATGTTTAAAACTAACTTAAAAAAACTAATTAAAAAATGAAAAATGAAAGCTGTTACTATCACCTATGAGGTACGGATATTGGGATTTTATTTTTAATTAAAAGTGAAATTAAACAAGAACGAAAAACAACTCAAAATCTGCTTTACATTAATATTCGTGTTTACGTTTTATTACTAAGAAATAAAAACTTTTTCTAGAGAACTAAACTATATAACTAAGAAATAACAACTTTTTCTAGAAACTTATTCAATGATTTGGTATGATAAACGTTATTTTATATTCTATTTATTTATTATTATTTTATATTGTACCGCTTAAGTCTTTTGGCATATTTTAAATAATTTATTTAGTGTATTCGGCGTAAATTTTACCCCACTCTTGAAGTGGTTCCTTTAAATCTGATATAGACGATATCGACATCTGATGCACACGGCGGTCCAATTCACTCCACAAATTTTGAATATATTAGGCTATTGGGGCGGCGTTTCCAAGACTTTTGGACAATTGTACATAACCCTTGTGCTTTGGATCATTGTCATTGTATAACCTTAAGGTCTTTTCAATGCCCATTTTGCTAAACCATCGTCTTGCCGTCATTTTAGTTAAATTTAGTTTCATCTAGTTAAATGATATCCTCCCACCAACTTTGGCCCTTTTTGGAGTAGTCCTAGGCACAGTTTTTTCGTAGTTTTCGATTGCGCTCAGACAGTAATTTTTTTTTGCGAGCAACTCTGCCGTTGTACCCTTGTTTTTTTTTATAGTCCGTCGAATAGTTTGCGCTGAATCGGACTTCCCATGATCGGCAAAGAGTTCCGCCGTCAATTCCGGTGCAGAGTCACCTTCGGCCTACTTTTGAGGTTGTTTTTTTCCGAATTGATGCCACTCTGCCCTCATTTTTGAACCGTCGGACGATGTCACCTACTGTATTTGGATGCATTTCGAGGATTTCGGCGTTTCCTTGTATATCTTGCCGTCTAAATGCAACTGCAGAACAGGTTTTCGCTGATCCAAAGATGAATTTTTAACCTTGCCCCTCATTTTACAATTCTGTGCTTCTACTTGGTTTTTTTTTCTATGATTGCCGTTAATGAGTACCAGTCCTATGTGTGCCTTTTGAGAAATCCCATTTTCCAGCTCTTTTGAGTTGCAATATTGCTTTTAAATATGACTTACCAAAAATACCGAAATACGCAATATTCTACCTTTATTTTGGGTTTTATATGATTCTTTAAATTATAATTTTATTTTAATATACATGTATATATCTATGAAAAGGAAATATTTCCAGCTTTAATATAAAAATTATTTTTTCTTAGTATAATACATTTTGTTCGCGTTTAAAGTGGAAAAAAAAAAAAAAAAAAAACGAATATTGAAGTAATCCACAGTATATACTTTATGTGCTCGAAGTTGCAAAGATCTGACTAAAACTATAGTACCCTGCAAGGGTACATAAAAATCCCTAATAGACTTAGAAAATTGAAAATTAGCAAAGTCATTCTAGAAATGCGCAAGTAGAGTTGTAGAGCGTTACGTTGTCGTAGATGAGATGTCCCATAGAGTTATTAGGTAGTGGAGTGAAGGATTTAAAGCAGTTGCAGCTAGACCTTTCGTACACACGTCAAACGCAAATAACAGACATGATTTACAAGCGGAGCTGCAGTTTTTACTGTTCCGAAAGATCGCTCTATTGCATCAAACTAGAAACCAAAAGCCAAGAGAGTTAAAATATCAGATGTCATATGCTATCAATTCGGAAAAACGGTTCATAAAAAATGTAGTTTGCTATTGACCAGGACAAATTGCTACTAACTGTTCCAAAGGAGTGTCGAACAAAGGATGGAGACCTACGATGGAGAAAAGAGTGGGACTTTTCGTAATAGACGAGCCTAAGTCGAGTACGTTGGTCAATGATAAAAGAAAAGAGAAAGCGAGAGAGTTTTGATTCAGGTAGTACCACATAAAATTATAATAAATAATATTTAATAATTTTAAACTTGTTCAAACAAAAGTTGCAAATTAATGTAAACTCGTTCATCCTGATAATTTTGATAATCATGAAAGAGATATCATTGCTCAAGCTTTTACCAAAGGGACTCCAAAGACGCGTGTATTAACTGGAAAATACGTATTAATTGAACCAACTAAGCCTGTACAAAGGCGACCATACAGATTTACCCTAAGCGAGAGGGAGCTAGTAAATGAAAAAAATACAGAACTAATTGAGTCTAAAGTTATCAGGGAAGACTTTGCGTCGACTATCGTAAATTAAACTAAATACAATAGCTGAAAAGCTTCCATTGCCTTTGATATAAGATCAAATAGCTAGACTTCACTTTCCTTGGCAAGACTTGTGGATGTTATCGGATTCTATTGTTATACAGCTTTTGTTACACCTGATGGGTAGTACGAATTTCTTTCAATGCCGTTTGGATTAAACACACCTTCAGTGTTTCAAAGAGCTGTATTGAAGACACTGGGCAGTCTTGCTCATTCATTTATAATTGTATATATTATCATACATATACTAATTCTTAAAAAAAGGAAGATGTTTATAAACTGTTAGACCTTGTTTAAGAAATTTAAAACATGACGTGATTTTCGTTTAAAATTTCTAAATGCTTCTTTTTGAAAACTACAATTATATATCTTTGCTTTGATTTAAAAGCTGGAGATACGGACAAATTTAAACAAAATTGAATCACTTGTAGCTTTACCACCGCCAAAATCTGGCTTCCCTATGTGAATTTATTTTTTATTTTCGTCAGTTTGTGTCGGAATTTTCACAGCTGATAATAATAGTTTTGTTTGGGGTAAAGAGCATGATATAATTCGTAAGAAAATAGTCGCTATACTAACGAATAAGAGAGTTTATATTATTTTTGATCCTCACTTTCCAATATAACTGCATAGCGATGCGAGTTCTATCGGGTATGGGGCTTGCTTCTACACCGTTTTACAATAAGCCGAATGGGGTGAAATATTAAAGTAGAGTACCGAGCTCTTGTGAATCTAGGTATAAATTGAAAACGTTGGCTGTAGTGTGTGCTGTAAAATATTATTTACATGGAAGAAATTTTATGATTTTTACTAATATAATTATAAAAACCATTTGATTTTGAAATTGAATATAGATTAGATAAACGGATGGCATTTCCTAGAAACTCTTGGAGAAAATAGAACAGGAAATTTCTAAAATCGTAAACAACTTAAAAAATTATAATTTCCTTAATCACTAGCTGCTACTTTTGAATTGAGATCAAATTTTTTGCATAGAAAGATTGAAAGAAAATCCTTGCTTGTCTCCTACTTTTTGTTGGTCTGTTCTAAATCAGGTACATGAAGCTATAATGCATTTAGGTTGGAAGAAAATATAAGACAAGGATGATGCTGCGGTAAGGAAAAAATATGTTCGTAGATTTCTTTAAAAATTTCATAACGTGCCGAGTTTCTAAATATACATCAGAAAAACCTTAATTAATATCGAATTCCAAAAAGAAGCATTCCATGGCACACCATTCACACAGCCATGT